TCAGATTTGCCAACTGTCCCAACAACGTCCATTATGACAAAAGAAAGTTCGGGATCATGCACCACGTTCAGTTGCCATGTCTTTTTAGCCCACTTTTCCTGGGGCAGTTCCTTAGTCTTTTTTTTATTTCCTTCAGTCTTTGTCTTTTCCAGCTTCGACCTTTTTGAAGAGCACAGGCCAGCTATCTGTAGGATGGCCCTCAATCTGGGTTTATCTGGTTTCATTATAATTAGACGCACGTAATGCATTTGGGGTATAAATGTCGCAGAAACGTTGGGTCGGACAAATGCTAGAGGTGTTCATTTGGATCACTGGGTTAAGGTGACGTCTGGTCGGGTTTTCTGCAGACGATCCCGCCTGCGAGAAGTCCTCTGATACAGTAGGCAGGATGGGGCATGTTCAAGGGTGAGGCGCAGACCCTCTTTCAGCACTCTGCTCAGTGGCCTTCGTGCGGGGCCTTCACAGAGCCCCTGATACGGCTGAGAAGGCTCTGCCGTGTCCCTGTGTCAGCATGTAGTACGCTACCATGATCCCCGGCTTGGTGGTGCCTCCACAGACAAGCGCACGCCTGGCACACAGCAGTTGTCTGTAGGCATTGAATGGATGGAAGTGAGGGGCAGAGGACTGGGGGTGTGGAGGCTCTCTTCCGGGTACAGAAAGTTTCTGCAACAGAGGAGGCAGACCTCAGGTGTCTAGCCTGGCCCAACCCTAGTTCAGGTAGAGGGCTCTGCGACTGGGTTATTACTGGTGATCTGGGTTACTCTTGGAAGGAAGATCCTGGTGGGGTCCCTGCACGTAAGGGGGGCATTTCCAGGATTCCTGCCTCACGGAAAGGCAGAAAGAAAGGTGCTCTCCTTCAGGGCACAGCACACTCTGGGCTCGAGGTAGAGCGGAGAGGGGAGAAAAGCAAACATCTGGTTGCTAATGACTCACCAAAGTTAGGAGGGACCCATCTGTGCAAAACGCCAAGAGGCAAGGCTCCTCAGAGCTCATCTGCTGCTAACGCACACGGTCCTGTCAAGGGAAGTGCCTAGAAGAATAGAAGAGATCTGAAGCCAAAGTTCCAGGTGTGGAGAAGCTGGTCTGAGCGAGGAGCTGGTCAACAAAAAGGATGTCACGGTTGACATTAAACAGAACAGTGGATTCTATGAAAGAGACTCAGGGAAGCAAAAGGCAAAATATTAGGACTACTTGTGAATTGGGAGAAGGTAAAATCTAATTAGATCCAAATGAAAAAAATCTTTAATCAATTATAAATAGAAGAAGTAGACATGAAAGAAGCAAGCTTCTGAAAGGCAAAGTCTCATACTAAAACGGAAGGCCGATTTGCTCAGGAAACTCTTATTTCCTGCCCACTTTGTTTGCTTGGAAAATACAGGAGAGCAGACCATCTGGGGTAATTAATTCTGGGGTAAAAATGTCAGAACCTGGGTAAACAAAGATTAGCGCCAAGATAAAAACAATAAAAGGAACCAGGAACTAAAAGAGAAACCACGTTTCAATACATTCAAAGGGATAGGATTCTGGACAAAATTCAGAAGAAGATTCCAGGGACAAACAGATTCTGCCATTGGTTAACTTTTGGAACAAGAGTCCTGGGAAGGACTCTTTCTCTTTCATATTTAAAAGTATCTCAGGTTTTAAATTGATTTCTGTAAAATGTCCACAATCAAGTGGGAAGGTTTGTAAATAACATTTAAAAACAAATTCAAAACCTCCCCCTTCAAATACTACAACCCAAAGCTATGGGACTGGGAAAGGTTAAGGTAACTGGGCAGAGGTAATTGACCTGCACAGTGATTGAACTTGGCCTTGGCAAACCGTGCTTTAATGGTCTGGTGCCCTCATGTCCAAAAAGCTTGCAACATAATTGGGAAGCAAGTGTGTAAGTCAGGTTCTCAGGCACTTTCCCTTGCTTCTCTCAGTGCTAAGGCCACTCCGATGCTTGGCTTCACAAAACCACTGGGAACAGCATCTCACAAATATCAGAAGAAAGTGTCCCTCTTCTCCGAGAGCTGCAGAAAAGCAGGTTTTATCCCACAACATAAAACTAGTTCTGATAAAGTGGTAGATGGAGAACATTTGCTAAAGCATCTATCTCTGGGTCTCCCAACTTCTGTCGCCTTCTTGGAAGCGGGGACATGAGCCCTGATGGGGAGCTTCGGCATGGAGGTCTGGGGAGAGGCAGGAAGCACGAAAGTACTAGAGGACAGTTTCCACATGACACAGAGAGTAGGAAGAACACTCATCTGGGCCGGTTCAGTCATCTGGTCTGGGTTGAGGGAACCAAGTCTTGGCAAGTATAAGCGACTCTAGCAGGACCTAGACTGGCTGATGGCCTCTCTCCCTATGGCAAGGGCAGTGGAAAAAATCACACGCCTAGCCCAGAGGCCACTGAAGCTGCTCTTGTGCCTGAGTTGGGACCACACTGTGTGCCAACTTACACATCAAGTTGGGCCATCAGGTTTAAGCCATTTTCCCATGAGCAATGGGCACCCCTAGAAATTCATGAGCAAGAGGGGTGGTTGTAAGAGCTGACCTTGGACTTGGAAAGACTTGGGTCTGAATCTTGGGCTAGATGCCCTTTCTGAGCAACATTTCCTCTTCTGCCTCATTGTTCAATTCAATGATGGGGTCCTTATTAGAAGGGGACCCTTGGACACAGAGACAGACACACAGACGTGAAGGAATAGGGAGAATGTCATCTGCAAGCCCAGGGACACCTGAGGCTACCAGAAACTAGGAGAGGCACGGAAGTCTCCCCAGCGCCCTGGCAAGGAGCCAAACCTGCGGACACCTTGATCTCAGACTTCTGGCTTCCAGAACCGTGACATGATAAATTTCTGTTTTCTCAGTCCCCCAGTTCATTGTGGGGTGGCAGCCGTGGGAAACGAATACAGCGGTCTTGAAAATAACCTAGTAATCACTGTAGCTCCTTATCGGTAAGGTTTTTCCCATCAAGACAGGATCACTAGGCTCGTGTCTCTTCTCCCACCTGCACAGTGGAGAACATTAAGATTCTCAAATAACTTGAGTCTGTTTTGTGAAACGAACAGCCTCGGGGTTCTTTGAACACACTGCAGGTGCACGCAGACACGTGAAGCATTACCCGTTTCTTTTCCTTCTTTTAGCCTCTGCTCGCTCTCTATTGGCTCCTCTTTTCATTATTCATTTGTAAGCAAACTTTTTTCAAATACGAGGATGTTTTAGGTGTTGCAAGTATTTTCTTCCAATGTCACTTATCTTTGTTCACTATTTAAACCCGGATTTTCCATAGATGTTTGAGATTTTCATGAGGGCCAAGTGTATTAGCTTTTCCTTTTACGGCTTTTGAATTTCTTGTAGCGCTGAGGGTTTTCTCCATTCCAAGATCACAACAGTCCCCCACTTCCCCCCAACACTTTTGTAGTTTCCTTTCCTGTTTCAGAATCAGACTTCATGTGTTCCCTGCTTGAACACATTAACGGAGTAATGCCGCCCTCTCGCTGATGTGGAATGCCACTTTCTTTTTTTTTTAAGATTTATGTATTTATTTATTTGACAGAGATCACAAGTAGTCAGAGAAGCAGGCAGAGAGAAAAGGAGAAGCAGGCTCCCTGCTGAGCCGAGAGCCAGATGTGGGTTCGATCCCAGAACCTGGGATCATGACCTGAGCCGAAGACAGAGGCTTCAACCCACTGAGTCACCCAGGCGCCCCTGGAATGCCACTTTTATCATAAATTCTTAAAGCAAACAGAGGTTGGTTTCTGGCCTTGGTTCATATTCTGACTTCACATGCCTTTCTCCAGCAACAGCCACAGAAATGCACCTGCCCGTATTCTGCGGCGGGGGGCGGCTGACGGTGGCCGCCTGGAGGACGCATGCGCAGACTGCCCCCTGGGGGCTGCCACTGAGCTCCACTCTGCTGTGATGCAAAGACGCAGGCCTGGTGTGGCCAGGTCTTCCAACTTTTCCAGAGATGTATGTGAAACCTGGTTTTTGAGAGTGATGGTGGTGATAGTTTTCAGTTTCGCACACGAACTACATTTGCATGCTGAAAGCAGCTGGTGGGACCCTGGGAGCTTCTGTTCCAGATGCTGAAACGCAGAGTAAGGCCACGCGAGGTCTCAGTGTACACCTCTAACTCTTCTCCCACCACCAGCATTAAGAAGGAAAAGGGGAAGGAAGAGTGGAGATGCAGCAGCTTGGGAGACCTGGGTTCTCTGCAGCCCCTCCCTGGAGCAGGCGGGGACGCTGTGCCTCATCTCACCTCTCCCCTGCCTGGGTCCATGATGCTGTTCCTGGTTTGCCTGGCAATCAGGAGGCAGTAGGTCAGCAAGAGTGTTGTAACATGAGTTGAGCCGGGCCTCCCAGACCCTGCCAGGGTGAGTGACAAAGGAGCAGTGCAGAGTGAGGTCCCCGCCAAGGATGGAATAGGATCCCCTCCCCCCCGGAACAAGCTGGAAGGTGCTGTCACCTCCTTTCTAATAATAATCATGTAGCCTCCTGGTACCACTGTTTAACCGGCAGAGGAAGGGCAGAGGCCTCCAGCTTTCATGTGGGGGATGGGCTCCGCTGGTAGCAAGGACAACTAACTCAGCGTTTAGACAAAGCCCTTCCCACATCTTCTCTCTGGTTCTCACAACAACCCTGTGAGGCAGGCAGTGTTGCCCCTTCTGTGGGTAGGGGTAGGTACTGCCCCTTACGGAGGAGGGAACTGCTTCGAGGAGTGATCAGAATGGGCTTGAACGGCTCCAGGATACGCAGGAACGGTGCACGGGGGAATAAAGACCAGACCCCTCTCCTTCCCGTGGTCATCTCTGTAGAACTATTTGTTCCCACGACAGATCCTCCCGGAACATCTCCAGTGGGCTAGGCCTTTGTCTCGGCCGTGGGAACACAGCAGAACCCAGATCCAAGGCACTGTCCTTCTCCTTGTTCAGGTCAGCTCTCCTTACCCTGAACCATGACCCACACTGGCCCTTGCTCTAGTCTCCTCTGGCCAGAGCAGGGACATCTGGCTCATGTTTGCCCTTTGCTCCAGAGTCCCTGGTGACTGGTCACTTCCTAGAATGTACTGACCCGTTCCAGAAAGACATGCTTTGCTATCTTAAGGCAGAGACAAGCGGCAGACTCAGACTGAAATCCTAGCCATGTCTTAATTCTGGCCAACTTTTAAAGTACCTTCCAGGCAGGTCACACCGTTCCCTGCACATGCTGTTCTGAGAGCCGGGATGGCACCTACAGTTTTTCTTGAAGCAGGAAATAGAGAGCAGGTGCTGAGGTGGCCAGTCCCCAGAGTGTGCTGGGTCAGCATCTTCTCTCGTGACTTGTCCTTCATCTCCATCTTTTCCTCTGTGCCCTGTCTTTTTGGATATTGTCTGAGGAGCAGGATTTGGCAGAAGGAATGCGTACTAGAAATAGGGAGGGCACCCCCACCAGCTTCACAGGTAAGACCCCATCAGTTCACATCCTGAAGGCAAACACACTCCTCCATAGTTGGTAGAACTCTGTCCCCCAGAAAGTTATGCCCAGGGCCAAACCCCGAGTACCTGAGACTCTGACCCCACTTGGGGAAAGGGGCTTTGCAAACATAATTTAGGGGAGGCTCTCGAGATGAGATCACCCTCAACTGGGGTGGACCTTAAACCCAATGACATGGATCTGGTATCCAGTGGGTCCTTCTAAGAGACGGAAAAGAAGAACACACATGGAGACAGAGGGCAGGAGGCCCTGTGGAGACCCGCAGGAAGATGGGGCAGAGACTGGCCTTGTACAAGCCAAGGATTGCCAGCAGCCATCAGAGAAAGGCCAGAGGCACGGAATGGATTCTCCCTCAGGGCCTCCAGGAGAGGCAGACCCTGCCGACACCCCGATTCTGAACTTCTGGCCCCAGAAGGACGAGAGGGTAAGTTCCTGCTGTTCTAGGCTGCTAAGACTGCGGTCATTTGTCATGGTGGCCCCAGGTCACAGACCTCACCAGGTTTGCCCCTTCAAGCAAGGACTGCCATGGACAATTTGACTGACGGGAAGGTCTACCCTTTGAGCACCTTTCCCCAGGGAATTTGGTGGCAGTTCCCCAAGGGCTGTATGGCGCCCACTCGGCAGGTGCCTGGTCACCAGCAAAAGAGATGTGGGGCCCCATGTGAGGTGCTGGGCTCTGCTGCTTCTGGAGCGGTGGGATCGAGGTCCTCGTCCACATCAGATCTGTCTGCTGCGACCTCAGCCCTTTCTTCCTGCCCCATCCAAAGGCTACTCTCTAGCTGTTCTTCAGCAATTTCTAGCTCCTCCTCTGTTTGTAAGATGGCCACGGTTTCCCGGGGTAAGTGCGAAGAGTACAGCCCGAGTTTGGCCTTAAAACCAAACATTGCCTCGTATGGACTTTGCTGCAGGGACACGTCAAATAGCTGATTCCTCACCATCTGTATGAATCTCAGGCCTTCGGCCCAGTGACGTGAGCGGTTACTCTGCATCCAGGCCCTTACCATGTTCTTGACATCATGGCTGACTTGCTCCAGGGATCCCGGGCCCTGGCCAGGGCGCTGCTTACCACAGGCAATCTTTAGGTCTGGCCATACCTCACTGAGCTCATGCACAACCTGGTTTGTGAACTCCACGCCACTGTCAGAGTCTAACACACAAGGTGTACCAAGAATCGTGAAGACGTCCAAGAGGACACTGACCACATCACGGGCCCGCTTCGCTTTCAACGGCCGTAAAATAATAAACTTGGTTAAGTGGTCCTGGTAATACAGGATAAACTTGAACTCACCGTCGGCATTTGACTGCATGTCCAGGACCTCAACTTGGCATCTGGAGTCAGTGTCCTTCGAAGGCATGGGCTTGAGGGCAAGACCTCTCTTGGGTACCGGGTTCTTCTGGTAGCACTGTTTACAGAGTGTCAGGTACAAGACAATGACCTCTTTGGTGACATTCCCGTACTTTCCTTGTAGCTCCTTGAGCATGCGTGTCCGCCCGCCGTGCCCAATGTTGAGATGTGTATCATGGAGAATGTCAAACAACTCTTCCTTATGCACGTAATACCGAATTCGGTCGCGTTCTCCGTGGGTCGCCTCGATCAGTTTCTCTGTGCCTTGCACGGAGATCACGTCGTATTTTGCCGCACGGCGGTAGTCACGTGAGGACTTCTTCCCCTTTTCCTTAGCTTCTTTGACTTCCTTTATCGTTTGAAAGTACTTTTCTTTGGAAAATACCTTGCTGTTGTAACTTTTGCTTTCTACTAACTTGGTCACACTTGAAAGAAACTTTTCTCTCATGTGACGTATCTCCGTTTCCGTGTCACTTGTAGTGGACACATGAGGAGGGTCATTTCCAGGTTTCTGGGGCATCATGGACAACTGTAAGAAGGAGCCTAAGACAGGGAGAGAGAAAACAGAGTTAAAATCCCCGATATTCCCTCTGGAAGACTTTCCCTCCCAAGTTCCTCATTCTTCATCTGATTTTTGAAGACCACCACAGAAAAGGAAGATCACAGAGGAATAGTATAAAAGCAGCAACAGAATAAAGCAACTAGAAAGCAACCGAGACTGCTCAAAACCCGAGCGTGTCAAGAGAATTTAAAGTTACTAAGATATATATAGAAATATGTAGTAATTTTAGACTTTAGGCAAACAGAGTGGATGAAACTATTCGCTCTTTAAGTGAAACCTAGTTAACTGGTCTTTATTTATTACATGAGTAGGAGAGAGGATACATGGAAATGCTTCAGGCAGTAGATGGACACTCTCCCTCAGTAACATTTAAAATAATATAAATGGGAGAATGTTGCTGGAAGGCACCATGATAACTGCAAACTTGAACCTGAAGTTAGCACCAGGAAGGGGCTTTTTTTTTTTTTTAAAGATTTTTTATTTATTTATTTATTTATTTGACAAATAGAGATCACAAGTAGGCAGAGGCAAAGAGAGAGAGAGGAGGAAGCAGGCTCCCCGCCAAGCAGAGAGTCCGATGCGGGGCTCGATCCCAGGACCCCGGGATCATGAGCTGAGCCGAAGGCAGAGGCTTTAACCCACTGAGCCACCCAGGAGCCCCAGGAAGGGGCTTTTTTAGCTTTCCCACAATCAATGTAATCGATTTCTTGGGGCCGAAGAGTGAGTCTGCATTTTAGGAGAATCAAGGAGAAAGTGCTGGGAAATTTTTGAATGACAGTTTCCCCCTGGTGACGGCACACAGGAGTAGTGAGTGAAGACTGAGTCCTTACCCTGAGGGACCACGTTGTCATAACTGTCCAGCATCGTGTCCATGCAGCAGGCCTTCCCCGAGGCTCTCAAACACTGGCCATATTTGGCATAGCCTCAGATGTCGCTACCTCTTGAAATGAAACCAGCTGGTGCCATAGGGACCATTCTCGGGGCCTGGGCTAAGGAGTGGCTGCAGCAGGACTGGGGGGACAGTGGAGGGTACCAGGAATGAAGGCACGCCAGCATCAGTGACTTGGAATGTGATCATGTGACTGTTCCAAGGAAGGCAGGAGAAGGAATAAATGGTCTCCTATCCAACCAGAGGAGTCCAGTTTCGTGGGTGAGGAAACAAGTTCTGCCCTCCTGGGAGGTCTGCAGGCCTAGACTGTTTTGATTCTGCCTGAGCTGAGGCCCACATATTTCCAGAACAAAGCAGAGAGTCCAAGTGAACTTGGGTATTCCAAGACTGAAGACCCCTTCCAATACGGGCTTGACGGCTCTGACTAGAGGCGGCAGGGTCTGTCTGTTTCCAGAGATGGAAAAACTCCACCTATGTGCAGAGAGAGCTGTCAGGAGCTCGTTATGCCAAAAAGCGGTAGTCCCGTTGGTCCACACCCCACCAAGACGGGAGAATTCCTCAGGGAGAGAACTTGACAGTCAACTGAGGTTCCTTAGAACCACTCCGGGTTGTAGGATGGTGATGCAGCCAGGGGGAGAGTTCTTGTGATGATAACAGGAGTAACGGCAATTGGGGAGAAAACAAGATCCCTGGGATGCCACCCTCAGAGAGCCAAGAGGCAGGGCAGAACCCTGGAAAGCAGAGAAAGATGAAAAGGCTTCAAAGCTCTGAGCAACATCTTAGTTAGGCTGAGGTCTGGAAGGTTCTCCACTAAAAAGGCTTCAAACTCTCGTGCTGAGCATCACTGGCTGACCACAGAACATTTCTGATTCTAAGACTCTGCTGACTATAAAACCGCTGACTTTCTGATGACTTTTTTTTTTTTTTTTTTTTAAAGATTTTATTTATTTATTTGACAGAGAGAAACCACAAGCAGGCAGAGAGGCAGGCAGAGAGAGAGGAGGAAGCAGGTCCCGCTGAGCAGAGAGCCCGATGCGGGGCTCGATCCCAGGACCCTGAGATCATGACCCGAGCCGAAGGCAGCGGCTTAACCCACTGAGCCACCCAGGCGCCCCTCTGATGACTTTTTTTGAGGGGAAAAAACAGAGGAACTACGTTAAATGAACACATCCAGGTTAATATATGTGGAAAACATACATTTCAGTGTTGAAGAAATAGAATGTTTGCAAATGCTGTTTAAGTGTGAGCTTAAGATCCTCAGTGTAAATGGACATTTTAAAGGCTCAGAGGGGGCACCTGGGTGGCTCAGTTGGTTAAGCGTCTGACTCTTGGTTTTGAACTCAGGTCGTGATCTCAGGGTCCATCACGTGGGTCTCCGCAGCAGAGTCTGTTTGAGATTCTTTACGTTTGCCCCTTTCCCTGCTGATGAGCGCCCACTGTCTCTCAAATCTTTTTTTTTTTTTAATAAAGGCTCTGAGAAGTTCTGCAGTAAATAAACCAGTTTGTTTCATCTACTAGTCACACTTATTTATTTATAAGAATGTATTTATTTGACAGGGAGAGCACAGCAGGGGGAGCTGCAGAGGGAGAAGCAGGCTTCCACTGAGCAGGGAACCCGACGTGGGGCTCAATCCCAGGCCCCTGGGATCATAACCGGAGCTGGAGGCAGATGCTTAATGGAGTGAGCCACCCAGGCGCCCCTACCAGTCACATTTAATAATTTAATCACGTTTAAAAGGAATGTGTTATCATCCCACAGCCAAAGGTCCTCAGAAGAGACCACGAGATATTCAGCAGGATCCAGGAAAGCACCTTCCAGACTCCTCCCTGAAACCAGCAGCTATAATTGAGTGGCTGCCCTGGCTGCTATTTGAGGCCCTTCAGGGGACTGTAAGGGAAGCAAAAGCTTCATCTTCATCCTATAAAAGAATGAAGACAGGTTGGGAATAATTTATAATGAAAAGATGCAAAATCTCAGCCTTTAATCTGAGACACGGTCCTCACAATATGCTAGGAAAAGCCACATTTAGCTAACGGGCCTATTTTGGTTAGTCCATCAGGTGTTTGTTTTTTGAGAAATGAGAACGATTTACCTATAGGTACAGATGGGATTTCATACAGGAATCTTGGCTGCCCTTCTTGGAAAAGGGGACGATCTGGCCATCCTGGGAGCTTGGCTGCTTGGCAACAACTGGCCGCAGATCGGGTTAGAAGAGCCCGCACTCTCCCGTTTCCCAGCGTCCCTAAGCGCCCTACTAACGTGTCCACCTTATCTGCCCCTCCCTGCGGTCGTCTGGGTTTTCAGCACCTGTTCCACAGCAGCAGGAAAGAACTGTGTCGAGCTTCCTCACGCGGTCTGCGACGGCGGGGTAACTACGGATACATGACCTTGGTTAGAGAAAGCTGGAGCCATCTCCCGCCCTCACCCACCTGTGAGTCTTTGCTTTGGCGTCCCAGACCTGGAAGGCCCTCTCGTTGGTCTTGTGAACTCAGCCGCCTTCCTGATGCGTCCAGCGACTCCATCCGATTGCCACCGCTCCGGCCTGTCTCTGGAGCACTTGATCTTGTGTTCGTCGTCGACTGGTCCGGGCGTACACAACCTCGCAGGTAGGCGCTGAGCCCTCTACCGGGCGGTATTCCCTCAGACGGCCAAGGATCCGGCGAGACAAAAGATGCTCGGAGGACGGCAGGCAGACGCTCCCCGTGCAGGTGCAGAGGCGAGGCCGGCAAGGGGAGGGCTGAGGGGTGTGTCCCTGCCCCGGGCGGAGTTACTGGGCTTCAGCTCCCTCAGCCACAACAGGGGGACGTACTGGTTTCCTGATGCAGACGCGGGGATAACGCAGGTGAAGCACTTAGCAGAGCCTCCCCGCATCCTCCGACAGACGTCCCGACCGCTCCTGGAGACCGGCTGCGGTGGCCACCTCCCCTGCGTGCGTGGTCTTCCTCCCTGCACTCCCGCCCCGCCTCCCAGGCCCGTCCGCAACCCCCGCCCCGCCCGCCGATCGCCGCCCCCGACCCCCGCAAGGACGGCGAGTTCGGGGGTGAACCAATGAGCGAGGCCGGGAGACGCTGGGAGGACGGATAGCCGCCGAACCCAGGCCAGAGGCCTGGGATGTGAGGGGGATGCGCCGCGGGTCGCGGCGTCGGGGCCCGTCCTCCCCTCCCCCGCCGCCGCGGGCCCCAGTCCTGCTGCCGCCACACCTTCCCGCCGCCGCCGCCCGCACCGGAAGCCGCTCGGCGCCGGCCGGAAGCCCCGCCCCCGCCGGGCATCTTTTTAAACCCCCGACGGGGTCCTGCTAGGGGTTTTCGCCGCCTGTCTTTCGGCGGTCGCTGGGGCCGGGGGTACCTGCGGCCGGCCTGTGCGTGACCTTGGCAGAGCGAGCCGCTGACCCCGTCCCTCACGCTGTTGCAAAGCCCGCGGTCAGGAAGTGAGGAAAGTGAGCTGCATCCCTCATTCTGCATCTAGAAGCTTCATGGGAAAGGAGAGAGGCTGGCGCCTCTTCACGGAGCCCTCGGAACCCACGTTTCAGAGGAACGTTTACTTCGAACTGCAACGTAAGCATTTGCGCTCTGAAATTTTGGCGCGATGGCGCCAGTGCCTGCGAGATTACGGTAAAGGATGAGCACAGCTGGGGGCAGTGGCTCCTCGCTTGTACCCAAGCCTCAGCACGCCACGTGCACACCTTCATAGTTGTCGCCCGGCAGCAGAGACAGCAGGTTGGGGCGGTAGCCCACAGGTCTCTTTATCTGGGCTTTCCTCTCAGTGAGCCATGATGCCCCCCAATACTGCCTGCTCTAATAAGGGGGACACCCCCACTAATCAGAATCTCATTACTCTCGGTGACTAAAGAGTTGGTGCTCAAATGGGAAAACCCCCTCTACCTAGATAGTATTTTTCTTTAGCACAGTCAAGGCCCAGGATGGGGGGCCTGCCTCCAGCAGCAAATGCCACCCGACTTCCTGGAAAACCCACCGGCTGGCAGGGGGACGTTATCCCCAAGCCCCACACAGAAAGCAAAGGCTCTTCATTTTAACAGTTTTTATTTCAAGTCACAGAGAAGACTACTTTACTCCTGCATCTTCTCAATTGTTTCTTCCTTGTATTTGCCCTTTTCCTTTCCTACTTGGCGAGATTTGGCTTTCCGTTCAAGGATCTTTTTGCGGTCTTTGTCCAGTTTTAGTCTAGTGATAACCACCTGCAGAGAAACAAAACACTTCTAGAGTTACCAGCTTCACAAGCTAACCAAGTCATACACATTGCTGTTTCTACCGTAACTTGAGAATCATCAAGTTGGAGTATAAATGTAGCTTCGACCCACAAAACCAGAGTATAGATTCTTCTTGAGACAAATCTAATAGTTAAAGGTCTCCAGGTGATGGTTAAATTTAGGTCTTGCGAAGGAAGGCGAGGAACAGGGGCAAAGAGCACTGAACCAGGTTTGGGAACACAGCAAAACCACCAAAAAGAAATCTCTGCCATCTCAGAGCCTGTACTTTGGTATGGGGAGAGAGAAAACAAAGGACGTGGATATATGTCAGACTCTGATATACAGAAAAACAGGCAATATGGGGGAGACTAAGGACGCTGGTGAGCAGGGGCTAAATCCTACAGGGTGATCAAACAAGGCCCTACAGTTAAGGCTACACTCAAGACACCTGAAACCTTGAGCACATTATGGTGAGAGACGTCAGACGGACAAACACTGTATGATGGTGGGGACAGGTACTATTGTAAAAAGTCAAACTTGTGACAAGATTAAAATGGTCACCAAGGGATGGCAGACAGTACAGATGTTAAGGTATAAACTTACAAACTGGGGCGCCTGGGTGGCTCAGTGGGTTAAGCCTCTGCCTTCGGCTCAGGTCATGATCTCAGGGTCCTGGGATCAAGCTCCCCATCGGGCTCTCTGCTCAGTGGGGAGCCTGCTTCCCCCGCCTCTCGCCTGCCTCTCTGCCTACTTGTGATCTCACTTTGTGTGTCAAATAAATAATCTTAAAATTAAAAAACAAAACAAAACAAAACAAAAAAAAAACAACTTACAAACTTTTAAGTCCTACAGATATCATCAGCAGTAGTGATATATACACAATATTGCATCATAATCACAAATCTTGCTAAAAGACTACAACTTTGTTACTCCCACTACTAAAATGAGCAATTGGGAGGACAGAGCTGCCATACACTGTGA